AGATAGTAATGGTTTGTCTTTCCATTAGTATAATGGAATAGCTAATAATTTCAGTTCATAAATTAATTATAGAAATTTGGAATTTTTCGCAACAGAAATATATCTATATTTGCATCATTGACGTTATTAAATATAAGAGGCATTGTTTGATATTTTACATCGGTACTTTATCACATAGCTATTTCAAAGATGCAACATTTTCCCGCTACAAAAATTCCTAGTACATCCGGCTGCAGCCAACTTCCAGTTGGTGGCAAGCGGGCATAACAGTAACATCGTGCAATATTCTCCCGCGTCAAAATAAAACATTAAATCTCAAAACGTTTCGTAAAGTAGTGATATCGCTGATTGACGTTTTAATTACTTTACGGAGTTCAAGATTACTAACTGTGAACATTTCTACGGTGGTAATATACTACATGTGAAAAAAACTGACGTTACATAGTGTAAACTGTGGAATGATACATGTGCGAAATGAAGTGGTGTGAGTGCGCGATCCTATAATACTACCGCATTGTCCGTTATTATTGCCTATAGAAGATTTTAGATTTCGACAGTTCGTTGGAATATTTGATCAACATTACTCTGAATAGGCAGCTTTTAAACAGTTTTTTCAATTTTTCTTCGATCTTGACGTTCCATTGCAATATAGTTATGTATTATCTCTTTTACATTCTAAATATCAATTGTGGATTAGAATATTTCCTTCCTACTGCATAGAATAGGCTGTTCTCCAACCAGTAGGGCAATTACATTACGATTGAAGGTGCATATATCAAACAAAGTAACGGAAAAGCAACTGCCTGTGAAATCGTTCTACACAGTATAATTTTTTCGCCTACGTTTCTGAAATTATGATTCTCGGTTAGATTTTTTCGGTCTAACAGCGTAGAGGGAATTCTTCCTTAAGGGAATTGAATGTGTCAGTGGCTGTCAGATCGTACGACGCAATTTACTTTTTTGCCTTCGATCTTTTGAATTAGGCTTTCTGAATCGGATTTTTCCACCGATTCGCGTAGAATGATTTATTCCTTAACGGGATTGGATATTTTTTTTCGGTTTCGAGCGTGCATTTTTCTAAAATAGTGCCGGAAGTGTCAGTGGCTGACAGATCGTGTGACGCAATTTACTTTTTTGGCTTATATCTTTTGAATTAGGCTTTTTGAACCGGATTTTTTCACATATTCGCGTAGAGTGATTCTTTCCTTAACGGGATTGGATATTT